AAGTTAAGAGTTTATCACTTACCTTCTAAAATGCAACTTAGTGTAAAATTTTACAAGTCTAGAGGATTCGTACAAAGTCTAATAAAGTTAAAGCATGACTGCTGAATTTATAAAAAAAAAAAAAAAAAAAAATTGATCAAATTTGATCAGATAAATACTAAGTAATCTTAGTTTGAATTTAGATATCTGTAAAAAAAAAAAAGCTGCAGCTAAATTTTTTTGTGTTTTATTTTTTAATTTTTAATCTATATTTCTTAATATTTACTTATTCAAATTTGATAAATTTTTTATTTTAATTCTACAGGTTTGTAAAATTAAAATAAAAAAATTATTAAATTTAAATAGATAGTTTAACTATTATAAGGGAAAGCTTGGTACTATCATGTCAAGTTTAACTTTAATAGTTAATGTTAAAAGTGTCACATGATTTGGGTAATAAATTATTGTATTCAGATATTCATGATTGAGCCTGTATTATTTTACTGACAATCATTTTATAGACTACATTTTATTGACAATTATTCATCAACAAGTTCATTTTACTAGCAGTCTATTTCACCGAAGCTCATTTTACTGATAAGTTTTTATTTTATAAATTATACTAACTTTAACTCTAATTCTAACCTAACCCTAATGATATTAACTAGAATTACATTGTCTGTAAAATGGGCTTTGGTAAAATAAGCTGCCAGTAAAATGAACTTGTTGGTAAGTAATTGTCACTGAAATGTAGTGTCTATGAAGTAATTGTCAGTGAGTTAATTATGTCTCTTTATGATTTATTAGATATTTATTATAAAAAGAATGTGAATTTATATGATCTTTATTTATAGAGGAATTTATAAAGCAAATGTTTTTCCTCATTAAAGAGCAAGAGCAAGCACTTATATATATATTAATTTCTTAGTATAATTTATAGTGTAGATGCTATAAATTTAGCATTTATGCTATTAATTTAGTATAGATGCTATATTTTTAGCATTGACATACTTGCAATAATTAAGCCACCAAGAATACAGAACAATGTCTAATCATATCAGCAGATCAGCGTAATTTTGCCTATTATTTTATTATCATCTGACTAACAAGCTACCCTAAAATCATAATAAGCTGAGTGTCAACCTAATTTCCTATTACCAAAGCTTATAATAAACTGAGTATCAAACCAATCTTCTAATATTGAAACCAATCTCTTGCCTATATGTTATAAAAGGGTGAATTGTAGCTTAAGATCGATATTTATTATATTCAGAAATCTGATACAACTAAATTTAGTAAATTGACTTATTATAGTCAAAGATCATTGCTGAAGTAGCTCAGGTCGAATCTTCTGGATATCTGTTATATCTGTCAGATATACCGGATCTATCAGATATGTTAGATAGGTTAGATATGTTATATCTGTTTGATATGACATATATATTATATATGATAGTAAGTTATATAGGTTAGATAGGTCATATATGTTTGATAGAATTAGTGAATCATAGTATAGCCAAAAATTATATATAAGGACCAAGAGTCTGCCTTGAATAAAAGATATCTCAGTATTGAGCTTTAATCAAAGTCATCGCATATAATTCACATATTTGTTTTTCTTATTTCTTAATAATAAACTATACTATAATTCTGAATTAGAGCCTCATAATGTAGTCTAGAGCTCTATTTGATTCTAATAACTCAGACCAAGTCTTTTCACACCCTCTTTCGTGCCTACTACTATTAGGGTCTGGTAGAGTTTAGTAGTTTTAGAGCGTTGATTTGGATTAGTTTTGTCCTAGTCAATACTCACAAGCTTATATTTTCAGAAGTAGAGGTCGAATTAGCCCCTCACAATGTGCAAGAAAAACTACTTCAAAAGCTCTGAAAAGTTAAGTACTTTCACATATGAGTGCTATCAAGATAAACCTGCTATTGGTGTTTTAGGTTTATTGCTTACTGGATTAAATCTATTTGATCTGTTAGAGTTTTTGTCCAGATAAGTTATAAATTTAAAACCTCAATGGCAGGTTTTTTTTAACTGCACTCATATATAACAACAAAAAAAAATAAGCACTTTGGAACATAATGAAAAATCAAATTGCATCAAACTTTTTATGTCTATTGTGCTTAAACAAAATATTTAAAACACTTAAAAGATTATATTTGCATCAAAGTAGAGTTCACAAACAAAATAGCAAAAATTTCCATTGCTATTTACTGATTCTTCACATCGTTATATCTAGAAAAAAGCTATAAGAATCTACAAGGGCTAGGTCAACACAAATCACTGATTCACTTTAACTATAATATTTCCAGGTTGGTTTAATATCTCAACTACTTGAAGCAATTTCCAAATTTAAAAACATTAGTATTTTTAATTCAAGACAAATTAAAAAATGGGCATCAGCAGTGAAAGCAACATGTAAATATACCATGCTTGGAAAGTTTGTTTGTAGGAATTTTTTATAGTAATATTAAATAATATTCACCAAGATATGAATTTTATTACTGTATATTTAGTGGGGTAGGGGCATATGAAGTACTAGGTCAAATCTTTAATAATTCAAATTGGGGTGTACGTGAATATAAAAATCAACAACAAACTTGGGTGGTTTTAGTATCTCAAGATATGAATCAAATGCAACCGAAAATAGAAATTCAATAGAAATATAGACAAATAAAAGATGAAGTAAATCATGTTTTGGAAACAGATTATATATTTCTAAATTTTACAATAGATCAAATTTATTATTAATGATATAATTAATATTATGTTGTAAATTTATATATTAGCAATAAAAATTCATTTAAATATAATTGAAAATAGAAATTTATTAAAAATATAAGCTATATATCTTTAAGCTTTGTAATTAATCAAATTTATTATTAGAATTAAATTTAATAATACAGTGGTTATTCATGATTTGTAATTTTAATTGTTCTATCTTTTTTAAAGTAAGTAGGAACATTGTTAACATAAAAAAAAAGTAATATATTTTATGTTCTATTATTTCTACAAGTGCTGAATTTTAGTTTTTACCAATTCCACCATCTTTTAATGTTTTTTGAAAAAAATAAGAAACATGTTGATGGTTTTTTTTACTGTAGAGCAGAAAAATGCATGTAAGCTGAAGTCTTTATATATAGTACTGTATATGTATGTAATAACGCACAGGGGTGTTATTTTGAATAATGGCCTGAATTAGACTTAATTTAGGTCAAATTTCAAAATTATACCCCTGCATGCTATTATATGCTTATATAGTAAGAAATTCTGAAATATGAAATACCAAAGTATATATATAAGAAGTTATATCATTAGGCCTATATAAGCCTTTAATAAATGTTAAAGAATTTGGATTTCTAGAAGAATGTGTTAAAAACAAGTTAAGCTAATCTAATGCTTTTTTTTTATATTCAAATCCAGATACTCGAAATTGATGTATATCTTAGTATAACTCATTAAATGCATTCTATAATTGACATATTTGTAAAGTTTAAATAAAATATTTAAGTTAAAGTTTTTTAATACTTTAAGTTTATCTTCACCATTTAGTGAAGTTGATTTCCAAGTTTTACTTTCTAAATCTTCCCACCAATAAAAATTAACTTGAATATATTTCATTTCTTGACTAATATCTAAATGCACTTTAATATTTGTTTTTATTTGTATTTCAGTTATTAAAAGTTGCCATAAATGATCAGTTATTTGTAGCATAATATGTAATTTATCAACAATCCAATTTGATAGCGGAATCATATAGAATAATAGTAAATATTCATGACCAGGTGTAGTTAAATAATTATGATATATATTTAATATATTTTTTGAAATAT